CTTGGTAGTCGCTAACAGTTAGACTGCTAAGTGAATGTTAAATAATCTGTACTTTTCTTTTGATTCAGGATCCGGCTGAAGCGAGAGAGGGATCTGTCACAAACTTCCCATGTGCTGCAGCTCCTCCAGTGTATACAGCACCTTCAGCATCTTCTGTTGCTAGCATTATTGGAGAAGGTGGAGCCCAACCTCAGCTGAGAAAAAGTGGGTCATCAGTGCTGAGAAAATCATACACTAGTGATGATGAACTTGATGAATTGAGTTCACCCTTGGCTTCAATATTCAACGATACCTTTCGGTCAATATCTGTTCCATCAAAACCAAGCTGGATATCCCATGGAAATGGATATCAAAACGCTATCAGGTATGAACTCCTCCGAGATGTATGGTTTGAGTAATTATAGATTATATCCACTAGGTGTATGATAATTGAGATGTAAATGAGTAGGTAAATTTTGTTTCACTATTGTCCAGGAACCATAGATGTCATTGAGAGATTTAATATGTATTAACAAAAAATTCATAAATGAAATTCTCAAATATGAACAACTTTTGAGATCAAACCTCTGCATGCTTTCAGAGTTATAATCACTCCTCTCATAGTTAACGACTTTAGTAACTTAATAATAATCTCCTTTTGTTAAAAATAAAAGAGCTTGAGCTTGAGTTTGACTTACATGATATATGAATGGAACAAGATAAAGGAAGAAAAATGATTGTCTCTCAATATATAATCAAAATTAACAAAAATCACTCATCTCATCAAAATATGGAAACCAAAAATATTGATGTACTAAAATCACTTGTAAAAATTCTTTATTAATATATCTGAAATTTCATCTTATCAAATATCATGTATCATATTCATATCTATATGGAGGTCACAGTTCATACAAGGTACACACTACTCTCTTGCCAAAATTACATTGCAGACTTGTACACTCAAACTGCATAACATTTCGGAAAGGAAACAAAAGCCCAAGGCAAACCCAACCCGGATTTTGCCATGCAAACTCAAAAACCATTCTATTACTCACTTGTAGAGATTTACTAGTACACCGGAATTTGAATGTGAATTCAACTGAAGTAGGCATAGGATAAGAAGAACAACCATCATATGTTATAAATTTTAATTAAAGTTCAAATCAAAATTTTACAGTAATTAGTTTTGCCATTTCAAATCCATTAGTTTGCACCGTTGATCCTGCAATCGTTTTCTTAGCCGTTTCAAATCCATTTTAAAGTTCAAATGTTTTTAACTTAGCCGTTCAAAGCTGCAACGGTTTTTTTTAGAATGATTAGTCATTCGGTTGCAGACAAAAAGTAAATAAAAAAGGCAAGGCAGTCCTCCATTGGCTGGAAAATAAAATTTTTTTGCATTCTCACTCCTCTTACATATGGTATTTTGTTCTCTTAAACTCTCTTTTAAGCAAGAAAATGTGGTTGCGTAAAGCTTGTCTTATAAGAGTACGGAATTTGTCAAGTTACAATAAAGAGAGATTAGGCTATTGTATATTGGTACCAACGTGATCGTAAAAAGCCATTGCATGGCAAGAAATGTCTTAAAAAGACTTTGATACCTTAACTCACACTTCCTGTAATATTATTTTATTTTACACTTTTCTTCTTTAATGAATTATTTCTATTAATTCGTGTAATTTAAACATATATTAAATATATTTTTTTATAAATTTTAATTAAAAAATAAAAATTAATTTT